ATAATTGTAGCAGTATTTTGGGGGTTATTATATCCTTATTTTCCCTTCACTTCCTCACCCAACTGAACTAAACAAATGTGAATTTCAGAATTCCTACCTCTCCCTTCTTAAAATATATGCTCTCACAATAGGAAAGAAGTGTTATCAATCCTTAAACATTAGGACTTGAAAATAAATTTGAACTCATGGAATCAATATCATAATACTAGGGCTGCAATTAATCGCAGTTAACTCACGTAAGTCACTCAAAAAAATTAATCACAATAAAAAATTAATTGCAGTTTTAATCGCACTGTTAAACAATAGAATACCAATTGAAATTTATTAAAATATTTTTGATGTTTTTCTACATTTTCAAATATATTGATTTCAATTACAACACAGAATACAAAGTGTACAGTGCTCACTTTATATTATTTTTATTAAATATTTGCACTGTAAAAATGAGAAAATAAATAGTATTTTTCAATTCACCTCATACAAGGACCATAGTGCAATCTCTGTCATGACAGGACAGTGATAGTGACAATGAAATGCTAAGGGAGATTAGAGAGGCTATCAAAATAAAGAACTTGATAATAGTGGGGGATTTCAATTATCCCCATATTGACTGGGAACATGTCACCTCAGGACGAAATCCAGAGACAAAATTTCTCAATACTTTAAATGACTGCTTCTTGGAGCAGCTGGTACAGGAACCCACAAGGGGAGAGGCAATTCTCGATTTAGTCCTGAGTGAAGTGCAGGATCTGGTCCAAGAGGTAACTATAACAGGACCACTTGGAAATAGTGACCATAATATAATAACTTTTAACTTTCCTGTGGTGGGAAGAATACCTCAACAGCCCAACACTGTGGCATTTAACTTCAGAAAGGGGAACTATGCAAAAATGAGGCGGTTAGTTAAACAGAAATTAAAAGGTACAGTAACTAGAGTGAAATCCCTGCAAGTTGCATGGACACTTCTCAAAGACACCATAATAGAGGCCCAACTTAAATGTATACTCCAAATTAAAAAACACAGTAAAAGAACTAAAAAAGAGCCACCATGGCTTAACCACCATGTAAAAAAAGCAGTGGGAGATAAAAAGACATCTTTTAAAAAGTGGAAGTCAAATCCTAGTGAGGTAAATAGAAAGGCGCATAAACACTGCCAAATTAAGTGTAAAAATGTAATAAGAAAAGCCAAAAAGGAGCTTGAAGAACAGCTAGCCAAAAACTCAAAAGGTAATAACAGAAGCAGGAAGCCTGCTGAACGACCAGTGGGGCCCCTGGATGATCGAGATACAAAAAGGAGCACTTAAAGACGATAAAGTCATTGCGGAGAAACTAAATGAATTCTTTGCATCAGTCTTCACGGCTGAAGACGTTAGGGAGATTCCCAAACCTGAGCCAGCTTTTGTAGATGGCAAATCTGAGGAATTGTCACAGATTGAGGTGTCATTAGAGGAGGTTTTGGAATTAATTTATAAACTTAACAGTAACAAGTCATCGGGACCAGATGGCAGTCACCCAAGAGTTCTGAAAGAACTCAAATGTGAAATAGCGGAACTACTAACTATGGTTTGTAACCTGTCCTTTAAATCAGCTTCTGTACCCAATGACTGGAAGATAGCCAATTTAACGCCAATATTTAAAAAGGGCTCTAGAGGTGATCCCGGCAATTACAGACCAGTAAGTCTAACATCAGTACTGGGCAAATCAACTGAAACAATCATAAAGAATAAAATTGTCAGACACATAGAACAACATAAATTGTTGGGCAAAAGTCAACATGGTTTCTGTAAAGGGAAATCATGTCTTACTAATCTATTAGAATTCTTTGAAGGGGTCAACAAACATGTGGACAAGGGGGATCCAGTGGACATAGTGTACTTAGATTTCCAGAAAGCCTTTGACAAGGTCCCTCACCAAAGACTCTTATGTAAATTAAGTTGTTATGGGATAAGAGGGAAGATCCTTTCATGGATTGAGAACTGGTTAAAAGACAGGGAACAAAAGGTAGGAATAAATGGTAAATTTTCAGAATGGAGAGGGGTAATAGTGGTGTTCCCCAAGGGTCAGTCCTAGGACCAATCCTATTCAACTTATTCATAAATGATCTGGAAAAAGGGGTAAAAAGTGAGGTGGCAAAGTTTGAAGATGATACTAAACTGCTCAAGATAGTTAAGACCAAAGCAGACTGTGAAGAACTTCAAAAAGATCTCACAAAACTAAGTGATTGGGCAACAAAATGGCGAAGGAAATTTAATGTGGATAAATGTAAAGTAATGCACATTGGGAAAAATAACCCCAACTATACATACAATATGATGGGGGCTAATTTAGCTACAATTAATCAGGAAAAAGATCTTGGAGTCATCGTGGATAGTTCTCTGAAGACGTCCACACAGTGTGCAGCGGCAGTCAAAAAAACAAACAGGATGTTAGGAATCATTAAAAAGGGGATAGAGAATAAGACGGAGAATATCTTCTTGCCCTTATATAAATCCATGGTATGCCCACATCTTGAATACTGTGTACAGATGTGGTCTCCTCATCTCAAAAAGGATATACTGGCATTAGAAAAAGTTCAGAGAAGGGTAACTAAAATGATTAGGCTGGGGTTTGGAACGGGTCCCATATGAGGAGAGATTAAAGAGGCTAGAACTTTTCAGCTTGGAAAAGAGGAGATTAAGGGGGGATATGATAGAGGTATATAAAATCATGAGTGATGTGGAGAAAGTGAATAAGGAAAAGTTAATTACTTGTTCCCATAATATAAGAACTAGGGGCCACCAAATGAAATTAATGAGCAGCAGGTTTAAAACAAATAGAAGGAAGTTCTTCACACAGCGCACAGTCAACTTGTGGAACTCCTTGCCTGAGGAGGTTGTGAAGGCTAGGACTATAACAGGGTTTAAAAGAGAACTGGATAAATTCTTGGAGGTTAAGTCCATTAATGGCTATTAGCCAGGATGAGTAAGGAATGGGGTCCCTAGCCTCTGTTTGTCACAGGGTGGTGATGGACGGCAGGAGAGAGATCACTTAATCATTACCTGTTAAGTTCACTCCCTCTGGGGCACCTGGCATTGGCCACTGTCGGTAGACAGGATACTGGGCTGGATGGACCTTTGGTCTGACCCAGTACAGCCATTCTTATGTTCTTAAAGCGCAAATTACAAATGTAGATTTTGTTTGTTTTTTTTTTTTTAGTTACAGTTATGTAACAAACAATGTAAAACTTTAGAGCCTACAAGTCCACTCAGTCCTACTTCTTGTGCAGCCAATCGCTAAGAGAAACAAGTTTGTTCACATTTACGGGAGATAATGCTGCCAGCTTATTATTTACAATGTCACCTGAAAGTGAGACCAGACGTTCGCATGGCTCTTTTGTAGCCCGCATTGCAAGGTATTTACGTGCCAGATATACTGAACATTTGTGTGCTCCTTCATGTTTTGGCCACCATTCCAGAGGACATGCTTCCATGCTGATGATGGGTTCTGCTCGATAACTATCCAAAGCAGTGCAGACCAACGCATGTTCCTTTTCATCATCTGACTCAGATGTCACCAGCAGAAGGTTGATTTTCTTTTTTGGTGGTTCGGATTCTATAGTTTTCGCATTGGAGTGTTGGTCTTTTAAGACATCTGAAAGCATGCCCCACACCACATCCCTCTCAGATTTTGGAAGGCACTTCAGATTCTTAAACCTTGGGTCAAGTGCTGTAGCCATCATTAGAAATCTCACATTGGTACCTTCTTTGCATTTTGTCAAATCTGCAGTGAAAGTGTTCTTAAAACAAACAACATGTGCTGGGTCATCATCCAAGACTGCTATAACATGAAATATATGTCAGAATGCGGGTAAAACACGGATTCTCCCCCAAGGAGTTCATTCACAAATTTAATTAACGCATTTTTTTTTTTAAAATGAGAGTCATCAGCATGGAAGCATGTCCTCTGGAATGGTGGCCAAAGCATGAAGGGACAGATGAATCTTTAGTGCATGTGGCATGTAAATATCTTGCAATGCCAGCTACAACTGTGCCATGCGAAAGCCTGTTCTCGCTTTAAGATGACATTGTAAACAAGAAGCAGGCAGCGTTATCTCCTGCAAATGTAAACAAACTTGTTTGTCTGAGCGACTGGCTTAAAAAAGAAGTAGAACTGAGTGGACTTGTAGGCTCTAAAGCAGGGATTGGCAACCTTTGGCATGCGGCTTGCCAGGGTAAGCACCCTGGTGGGCCAGGCCAGATTGTTTATCTGCCGCGTCCGCAGGTTCGGCCGATTGCGGCTCCCACTGGCTGCGGTTCGCAGTCCCAGGCCAATGGGGGCTGCAGGAAGCGGAGCGCGCCAAGAGATGTGCTGGCCACCGCTTCTCGCTGCCCGCATTGGCCTGGAATGGCGAACCACGGCCAGTGGGAGCCGCGATCAGCTGAACCTGTGGACGCGGCAGGTAAACAAATCGGCCCGGCCTGCCAGAGTGCTTACCCTGGCAAGCCGTGTGCCAAAGGTTGCCGATCCCTGCTCTAAAGTTTTACATGGTTTTATTTTTGAATGCAGTTATTTTTTGGTACAGAACTCTTACATTTGTAAGTTCAACTTTCATCATAATACAAGTACTGTAGTGCAATCTCTTTAAGTGAATTGAAAAATACTATTTTTTATTTTTACAGTGCAAATATTTATAATAAAAGTAAATATAAAGTGAGCACTGTACACTTTGTATTCTGTGTTGTAATAGAAATCAATATATTTGAAAATGTGGAAAACATCAAAAAATATTTATATAAATGATATTCTATTAACAGCAAGATTAATCACGATTAATTTTTCTAATTACTTGACAGCCCTACATAATACATTCCAGCCATATGATTAAGATTTCTTTACAAATCATTTCATCTTTAAATTATCTTTTAAAAACACACATCTATTAATCCTTACCGGTACAGTGAAGAACTTGAGCAAGCAGCTGCCAGCATAGGAATACAGGGTGCAATTTCATTCTCATTTACCTTGCTCTATTGTATATCATTGATTCATTGTCATCCAAGACAGTTGCCAGCATATCCAAGTCATGAAACATTTTCAGCATGTAGTCTGTAAATTTACATCCTGAAACTCTCTCCACCACAGCACTCAGAAGGGTAAAGCCATAAGTCGAATACAAAAACTGGCTTCCTTGAAAAAAAATGGAAGGAGAGAAAGAGATAGGTTATTAAATACCGCTTGAATTAAAAGTCTAATGTTTCCTTCTGCGATCTTTTCCTATGAAGTTTCCTATTCAATACATAAAGTTTTTACACAGGGATCTGTGTCAAGTATCAGGGGGTAGCCGTGTTAGTCTGTATCTACAAAAACAACAAGGAGTCTGGTGGCACCTTAAAGACTAACAGATTTATTTGGGCATAAGCTTTCGTGGGTAAAAACCTCACTTCTTCAGATGCATAGAGTGAAAGTTACAGATGCAGACATTATATACTGACACACGGAGAGAAAATACTCACCAGCAACTACACACCACACCACAGAAACACCAACCCAGGAACCAATCCCTGTAGCAAACCTTGTTGCCTACTCTGTCCCCATATCTACTCTGGCGACACCATCAGAGGACCCAACCGCATCAGCCACACCATCAAGGGCTCATTCACCTGCACATCTACTAATGTTATATATGCCATCATGTGCCAGCAATGCCCCTCTGCCATGTACATTGGCCAAACTGGACAGTCCCTCCGCAAAAGAATAAATGGACACAAATCGGACATCAGGAATGGTAACATACAAAAGCCAGTAAGTGAACACTTCAATCTTCCTGGTCATTCTATTATTACAGATTTAAAAGTCACTATTATTGAACAAAAAAAAAAAACTTCAGAAAGACTTCAAAGAGAAACAGCAGAACTAAAATTCATTTGCAAATCTAACACCATTAATCTGGGCTGGAATAGGGACTGGGAGTGGCTGGCTCATTACAAAAGCAGCTTTTCCTCTCCTGGAATTGACACCTCCTCATCTATTATTGGGAGTGGACTACATCCACCCTGATTGAATTGGCCCTGTCAACACTGGTTCTCCACTTGTGAAGAAACTCCCTTCTCTCCATGTGTCAGTATATAATGCCTGCATCTGTAAGTGTCACTCTATGCATCTGAAGAACTGAGGTTTTTACCCATGAAAGCTTATGCCCAAATAAATCTGTTAGTCTTTAAGGTACCACCAGGGATCTGTGTGTAACTTTGTCAGAACACACTTATTCCCAGTACATCTTATGCCATCACACTATATCAATATTAGCTTCTCCACAGTGTAATCAGAAACATACAGAATTAAAAATTATTATTCTCTTTTCTATGTTAACTCTACACAGAAATATAGCATCAGCCGAATTCTACTCATGTGATTAGGAAGACCTGCATTTATTTTGTTCTTTTTAATAGCTACTATTCAAATACCCATACTCACCAGAAGACAAACTAATACATAAGATTTAAATATGTAACAGTAACGGATAAAACTTTACGGGTAAAAAGAAGGTAAATGCAATTAAAAGCCATGCATGGCAACCCAGAGTAGGCAGATGTAGAGCAATCTGACCCCCATGTTAGGTCTCCTCCTGATCTCTGTTAGAGATTGGCAAAGCCCTAAAAGCATGAGGTTTAATAACCTTTCCACAAAATTAATGACAACTCTGGATAGTCTTATTCATATAAATAGAAAAATTTAAAAATAATTGGATACGTTTTTGGCCTCAAGGACTGTGGCAATGAATTCCACCGTTTAGTTGCACATTGTGTGAAAAAGTATTTCATAGACTCATAGACTCATAGACTTTAAGGTCAGAAGGGACCATTATGATCATCTGGTCTGACCCCCTGCATGCTGCAGGCCATAAAACCGTCCCTACCCCTTCCCTGGACTCTGCTGTTGAAGTCCCCTTTCCTTCTATCGGTTTTGAATTTCCCACTATTTAAGTTTCATTCAGTGTACCCCTTTTCTTGTGTTTTGAAATGGGCAGAGAAGTTCCTGATCTACCCTCCCTATAATGTTTTTGTTTATATTTATGTCCCCTCTTATTCATCTTCTTTCTAAAATAAACAATCCCAATCTTTTCTATCTTGTTTAATATGAGAGTTTTCCCACACCCTTTATCATTCTTAGTGCTCTTCTCTGAATCCCTCTAGTTCTGCAATATCCTTTTCGAAATGGGTGACCACCACTGCACACAGTATTCTAGATAAGGCCATGCCGTTGATTTATATAGAGGAATTATAACATTTCACCAACCTTTTCCTCATGCAACCTAACGTTTTGTTTGCCTTTTTGACCACAGCTGCACGTTGCGCAAAAGTTTTCACAGTGCCATCTACAATGATGCCCAAGTCCCTGTCTTGAATTGATACAGTTAATTTAGAACCCTATAAATTGTATGAGTAGTTTAATTTTCTCACTCCAGTGCGTTTAGCAGCACTGAATTTCATATGCCATCATGTTGCCTGTTCACCAAGCTTGTTTAAGACTCCGAAGTTCCTCACTGTTCTCTCTGGTCTTGACTAACCTAACTTTGTTATCTTCAAATTTTGCTACCTCACTACTCAATCCCCATTTCCATATAATTTAAATATATATAATAAACACCACAAAATCCAGTAGGAATTTGTGAGGCACTCTGTAGTTAACCTTTTGCAATACTGGAAATGTAATATTTAATTTTCCTTGTTTTCTGTTTCTTAAACAGTACTTGATCCACTGATTAAACAACTTGTTTGGTTGCTTACCTACTCTATAAAAACTCATGCTGTTGTAGGAAGAAGAGTTAAGAGAGCCAAAGAAAACTTCAGTTAAGAAAAAAGACTTTATAGGAAAAGATTAATTTGACTGATCTTACAAGGTCTCCATGTTGAAATTCAATAAAAGGCCGTGTGTGTGTGTGTTACAGTGAGTCAGCTAAAAATTTTACGATATACCTTAACCTTTGTAATTCAATAGACAAATTTTGCAGCATATGCTGTACATGGAACTATTTTGAAAGAACTCACTTGAATCTATTTCTACCCACTCTCTAGGACTCTTTATATTCCATCTTAGGGCTTGTCTACACAATTTTTCTACCTGTTTATCAGTCTACAAACTGATAGTTAAGTCTGTGCAACTCCTAGTGTGGATGCAGTTATACTAGTAGCAGGTGTGCTTATAATCAGTACAGTTTATTTCTGAAACTATGAAAAATAAGCTACACTGAGATAAGCACCTTTAGAGTGATATAACTATATACATACCAGGGGCTTGCACCAATGTAACTATATTCAGTAAGTTTCCCAATTTTATTTTTTTTAATCCTTTGCAGGGCATATTTAAAGTGACCAGGTAGTTAGAACATGGCTTGAACACTCCCTTTTGAGGCTCTCATTGGATAACAGGAAAATGAATCTTCTGGTTTAGTCTCAGGACTTGTCTTCAATACCCGCCTCGATCAGTAGGTAGAAATCGATCTCTCGGGGATCAAATTATTGCGTCTCGTCAGGACGCGACAATCGATCCCCGAATCGACGTGCGTATTCCACCAGCGCAGGTAGGAGTAAGCGCCATCGACGGGGGAGCCGCGGTCGATTTGCTGCCGTCCTCACAGCGGGGTAAGTCGGCTCAGATACGTCGAATACAGCTACACTATTCGCGTAGCTGAATTTGCGTATCTTAAATCGATCCCCCCCCAGTGTAGACCTAGCCTCAATCCCACATAATGCATCAGACAAACTACAATCTGAAGTATACTAAAAATCTAGAACTTAAAGAAAAAATATTAACTTTTGATCAAACGGAATAGAAACTCACCTGGTTTAAAGAATAAAGGATCATTTTTAAATATTTTCAGTGAATCAATCACATTTTCAAATTTTTCTTTCAAATAATACTCTTCATGTTCAAATTCCTTTGTTTTCTTGACAGGTTTTAAATTTCGGCCTTTAGCTTCACCATCCTGTTCTGACTTAGCTTTAGGAAAGTCATTTCTTTCAGTGTCTTTATCTTCTTTTTCTTTCAGTTCCTTCTCCTGGTTAGATTTTTTTACATCTTCCATTAGTTTAAGGGCTTTGTTGGCTTTTTCTTTCTGTTCCTTTACTTTTGTAATATCTTTCTCATAGTGACGAATTCCACTTAAATGTGAAACTAACAATCTTGTAGTAATGGTGACCTAGTTTAAAAGAAGAATATTAAGTGCATGCCTGCTTAACGAAAGAAACTATACAAGGTGCACTTTTATTTCTGCAATTTATATATTTGGTATGTTAAGAAATAAATGAAGAAATAAGAATTCTAGCCATTCTTTCTATTGTAAAGTCTGTTAGAAAAACATATTTAAACATTAGTCTGAAAATCCAAAATTTCCAACATTCCTTTTTCCAGCAGCATGTATTGCTTCCTGCCCCTACTTCTTTTAACTTATGTGTGGTACACCACATACAGAAAGCTGTGTGCACTTGAAGCGTGTAGGTGGATAGGGAAGGTATGGGACAGACATGAAACTCAGACAACTAACAATGGTTACAGAATAAACTGTCCCATTACCTTTTCACCTTCATATTCTTTTTCTGGAAACTCAGGAACATATTTCTGCACTGGAGCATCTAAATCCAATTTTCCTTCTTCCCACAGTTTAGCAACAGCCATCATTGTAAGACACTTGCTAATACTAGCAATTCGCATGATTGTCTCTGGTTTACAGATTACACGGTTCTCTACATCAGCATAACCCAGACCTTTAGGAAGAATAAAAGGTCACAGTTAGGGGGTTTACATATATAGAGAGACTTCTTTGGGATTTTACAATGTTCACAAACTTAAGAAGTTTACCAGAATTTTCCAGAACACTTTGCATCTAAGTAAAACAAAGGCATGAAAGGTGCTATTTTCAAAAGTGCTCAGTGTTGGCCTAATTCTGCTCCCATTGACACCAACAATAGTGATTTCAATGGGAGCAGAGTCAGGCCATTGAAGTGTCTTTTTGAAAATACATCCTACGTTACCCCTTTGAATCACTCTGACCAGTGACAACATAAAACTTAAGACTAATGTAGCTTAGTGAAAAATTAAAATTATATCCTAAGGGCAGACAAGCATGTCTCTCTCACCAGCAGAAGTTGATCCAATAAAAGATATTACCTCACCCACCTGGTTTCTCCAATATCCTGGGACCCATACTGTTAAAACTATACTGCATACATCCTTAAGGGCAAACATTCAATGGAAAAGACTCTCAAAAACCATAACCTAGACTGTCAATCAAGCCCCACATTCATAAATCCATATTTTAATTCTTTGAAAGAGCTACTGTGAATTACTCTTTTCAAAAATACTTTCTCTGTATAGAAGTTACATTGTAAGATCATTTAAAAACAGGAAATTTACACATAACCTTACAGCATTTAACTCAATTAATAAAGCTTAACTACACAGTGGTTTAATAAATTATTTTTAACCTCTTCAGATATAGACTTAAAGAGGGCTTAGATCAGAAATGAAGAAAAATTCAGTAGTCTCCATCCAGTATATTTGTTACACATCTTAGAACCGCTGCATAGTAGTGTGCAATTCCACAGCGACAAGTTCAGTAGTGGGCTCACCAGAGTGTTATATTTCAATCTGCGCTACATTGGTTAAATTGTATATGGAATGTTGCAGTGCACTATTGGTTTATTTCTAATCTAAGATACAGCACACTGGCAAAGGCCAGTTTTTATTAGCCATATGTGTCTATGTATATAACTGGAACACAGTCCCCTAACATGCTGCAGTCTAGAGATTAGATTCTCATAAAGCAGTAAAACTTGCCAAAATACAATGAAAGGGAGAAATCAGATTGACCAATCTATATTGCCCAAGTCTTCTCCTCTAAAGGAAGCTAAAACCCAGATGCCTATGTTGTGCTACTGAGAGTAGCTGGTGCACTTCTCCCCATTCAACTGTCTGCAAAAGTAGCACATCCAAGTCTCAAATCACTATGATCAGATTGGCAAGAAATTGGGCAGAATTTTTACAGAAGACACAGATTTTGTTATTTTCCATGTTTTTCCCTTCAATCTCATGACTTTATTTTAAGATAATGGTGCTCTACTCGGCCCTCTGGATGAAGGTGTGGGAAGAATCTACCACAACCTGCACCCCTTTATGATACTTTTGTTTATTATTTGTATTACCACAGTGCCTAGGAACACCAATCATGGAGCAGGACTCAGCTGTGGTAGGCACTGAGAGTTCTACCCTATCCAATATCTTTCCATTGGATCTTGGAGGAAGATTCTGCTGAAGCAGCAGAGAAGCATAAACTCCTCCTTCTAGGGTCTCTCTGGCACCGGCAGTTTCTCTTAACAACACTGCTGCAAAACCTTCTGAACTGAAAAGCATAATCTGAGGAATTTTTTTTTGTGGCATAATTTTCACATGCCACATTTAAAAACCCCCACCAAAAACACATTCCTGTGGCAACAAAAGGTACATGAAAAATGGAAATCAGCTTTTTGAAGGAATACCTGAAGATTCTGCCACAAACAGGCTTACAATGGAAAGTCTGTTACAACCTTGCTAATGAGCCTTTCCGGGACTCTATAATTGATCTTTAGCAAAGTACATTACTGTTTGTTTCTGTTATCTTAGTTGCCTGAAACAAACACCAAAATGTTTCTGAAAAGATAAGTAAGTAGGGTCAATCAAGATCAATAAATAAGTCCTCATTGGAGTTCTGTTCAGACCTATCTAGACCTGTCTTTCCAGGGCAATCTATATAACCTGCAAAATAATTTATGACTTTTGAAAGGATTATAGCTGTCAAATCTCAACATGTTCCCAAAGGGAGTCTAAACACCAGCCCACTAGTATATGAAATATCACTGAATTGGAATCACTCAAGTTTATTCTGACCATTATGTAGATTCTCAGAGAAAGATTATGTCTAGTATAGAATAGTAAAAGAACAGTTGTTTCTCAAGCAAAGCCAAACATAATCAATTTAATATCTGTAGATATCAATTATTTTATTTTCACCAGCAGCTGCATAAATATGATGTACAGTTCTGTCTGAAAGAGTACCATATAATACGTAGCAGTGAAGGAGAACTTTAAAGGGGGGGGGGATGTATGGCAGAATGATTGTGCACAGCAGGTATTTACTTAGATGTAGATCAGTAGAGGGCACAAGGAAATATTCTCTTTTTTAATTACAATATCCACCCTCTTCCATGAGTCTCCCATATTGCTTACTGGGGGAAAAGTTCTGTAAAATGTTTGCAGAAAGAGTTTGGGAAAGACTCTATTAAGCAAACTTAATTTAAGCCACGTTCAGCCAAACTCAACAGGGTGAGTGCCAAGCTAAGTGTGGATTGCTAGTTATCACTTATTACAACTAAAATCACTTAGCATGACTGACAACAGCAAATTTCCTCATAATTAGTTACAATGCAAGTTAGACCTATGCAAGCAAGATTAAAGTACATTACCTCCCTTTCGTAAGTCTCTCATTAAAGTCAGGCATTTTGAGCCAGTGTATAGTCAAGACCTTCTTAAGCCTCATATTGAGGCATTTATTTTGACACCACTCACCTCTTAGGAATTACCTTATCCAATTTTAGGTCACCATTCAACTGTGCACATACTGTAATGCCTTCAGAGCGTGAAACTTGTTCCCCTCCCAGTAGTGGTCTTGGCCTTTTCCTCCACACTTGTCAACGTGCCTTATAAACAATCCCCCAAAAGGGTGCTTCAATTACAACCACTACTATCTTCTACAGCAGTGTTTCCCAAACTTGGGACGCCGCTTGTGCAGGGAAAGCCCCTGGCGGGCTGGGCCGGTTTGTTTACCTGCCGCATCCACAGGTTTGGCCGATCGCGGCTCCCACTGACTGCGGTTCGCTGCTCCAGGCCAATGGGAGTTGCTGGAAGCGGCGGCCAGTACGTCCCTCGGCCCGTGCCGCTTCCAGCAGCTCCCATTGTCCTGGAGCAGCGAATCGCGGCCACTGGGAGCTGCAATTGGCCGGACCTGCGAACACGGCAGGTAAACAAACCGGCCCGGCCTGACAGGGGCTTTCCCTACACAAGTGGCGTCCCAAGTTTGGGAAACACTGTTCCACAGAGATACTTTATTCTTCTCCTTACTTCGACCCTCCCCCATTTTATAGATTTTAAGGCCACAGGGACTATTATTATTTCTTGTCGTCTGTAGTTTTTTAGGGCAGATTTTATAATACAGGCAGTCCTCATACTTATGACAATTGGTTTCGGAGAATCGCATCGTAAGTCGAAAACATCGTAACTCAAATCCCATAGGAACATTGTGGGATCGAGCGTCGTAAAGTCGGAACCAACATCATAAAGTCGGAACGGGACATCAATTGACAAATGTCATAAGTGCCATTCCATCGTAACTCTAACGTCATAAAGTCGTGGACTGCCTGTACTTTTAAGATTGTGAAGTTAATGGACAGCACCTGGCACAAACTGAAGAACAATTACTACTTCAGATTTGTAACCCGAATGAAATGTTAATTTTAAAGAACATGCAGAACTGAGTTCCTGTATACCAACCTTCTGACCATACTTCCTTTCCATCTACAGAAACTCCAATTACTATGCCTGGGGCTCCCACTTCATCCTGTCACAAAAATACTCCAGTCATTAAAAGGCTCTGCTCCTTCAGAATTCAAACATACATTCTGCTTTTATGGGATTTAGGATAAGCAGTGTTCCCAGAAAGTACATGATTATTGAAATTATTTTGTTTAAATACCAATTGAGCTGAATTTGTACAAATCCCCTTTGAAAAGCTGCAGATATCTGTTGTGGTGCTGGACAGCTACAATGAGAGTCCAATGAGCTTAAAGATTAATTTAATACTAACTACACCAACTGCAAACAGGGAACATAAAATCTTCCAAATAAGATGCAATATGTGAGTGGTTTCAGAGTAGCAGCCGTGTTAGTCTGTATCCGCAAAAAGAAGAACAGGAGTACTTGTGGCACCTTAGAGACTAACAAATTTATTAGAGCATAAGCTTTCGTGGACTTTTGTTAGTCTCTAAGGTGCCACAAGTACTCCTGTTCTTCTTTTTGCAATATGTGAGTGATATCACATGACAGTCAACACAGATCATTTTAGTGAGTCTGGGATGTTCTGATTTAAATTATACCCTGAAGCTTCAGTTCCAAATTTGCAGAAGAATCATGACATTCTATTTATATAGTTCACATGGCTCTGTGCTCTCCTCCAGTCCTTCAAATAGTCCTGAGTTCCCATTACTCACTACTAAAAATACTTCTACCACTAGTTTATGCCAGGCCTGCACTGGTTTAATGAGCCCCTTTAAGGGCAGCCCTTCCTAACAGTAAATATATTCAGTAACTGAAATGCACTTTCAGACCCTTCTGACAGTTCTTACAGACAAGCAATGATGACATTCAGTGATTTACTGTGAAATCCTGATGTGAACAGACCAAACAACACCACAAGCAGCACAGAAGTAAAGTATAGATTTGTTCCCTGGGCTGCGGAGATATTGCACTAGTCAGGGACCAGACTCCTAAGAGTGCGCTGGCTGTATAGGGTTGTTCCTCTCTCCTCCCCAGTAACCTAAACACTAGTGATTAGGCTACACAGAGGAAGTTTTTGAAAGTGCTCAGACACACACACAGGGAAGTAGTTTCAGGGACACGTTCAACTTCAAAACCACATTTGTCTCAAACATCTTCCCTCTGCAAGTGACACCTGAATTCCCACCAGATGAGTAATGGCAACCGGCGCCGTCTCACTCTGTTTGCACACCAAAGCCCTGCAGGAATCATAGAACATTAGGGTTGGAAGGGACCTCAGGAGGTCATCTAGTCCAACGCCCTGCTCAAAGCAGGACCAATCTCCAGACAGATTTTTACCCCAGTTTCCTAAATGGCCCCAACAAGCATTGAACTCACAACCCTGGGTTTAGCAGGCCAATGCTCAAACCACTGAGCTATCCCTCCACGAGGAGCAGATTTCTTATCATTTCTTTTTGCGCAGCGCCTAGCACCAGGCCAAGGGCGAAGGGCAGCAGCAAGAAGCGATTTTAAGACAAGCACGTGCATCTGTGGGCTGGGAAACACGGGGCCCGCGGCGGCTCCTCCTCTACTCCCCTTCCCCCCCCCCCCCCCCACGGCCATGGGTGCCGGGGGCCAGGCCCGCCCCTCCCCCACAGGGGGACCCAGGCCGCGGCACCTTAATCCTCTGCAGCAGGTCCCTGCTGCTCTCGATGGCCCGGGCGAAGCCCCTGGGGGGCGGCGGCTTCACCTCTCCCGCCGCCCCCCGCCGCGGGGCCCCCTCCTGCTCGCAGCCGGCCGCCACCTTAACGCCCAGCGCGAGGCCCAGACCGACCCCCCAGCCCCAGGCGCCGGCTCCCCGGGGTGGGCACGGGCCGCTCCCCAGGCGCTGCAGCCGCTGCTGCCCCCAGCCCCGCACGGGGCCCGAGACTCGGCGCAAAGCCCGCGCCAAGCAGTGCATCGCTTCAGCCTGGCCGCCGCCAGGCAGGAGCAGTTGCTCCCGAGAGCTCGGCCGGCCAAGCCCCGAGCACATCGAGTGGGGGTGGAGACACTTGGCTTCTAACCTTGTGCCCATCCCCCCTCGCTTCACTTGCCCCCTTCCTTCCCTTCTCCTCCCGCCTGGGCGTTCTCACCTCCACAGCCTGGGGGCGGGGCCGGGGCCGCGGGGGTGGGCAGGGGAACTCGAGAACTGGGCTCTCTAGCTTTCCACACTGCTGACCCCTTTGCCCTTTCCTGAGTCTGGTTTGTCTGGTTTCACCTCACTTAAAAACCACTTGCTTACAAAATCCAACGTAAAAATACAGAAGTATCCCAGCCCACTAGTACTGAAAAATCCCTCACTTTCTCATGTTTACCATAGAGTTACAAAATAAATAGACTGAAATAGATCATACTTACATTTCAGGGTGATACTTGAGCCTGGGAGCCTTGTCTGAAGCCCGAGCCCCGCCACCGGGGCTGGGGTTGCCAGGCATCCGGTTTTTTACCAGGATGCAAGGTTGAAAAGGGACCCTGTGGCTCCAGTCAGCACCACTGACCAGGCCACTAAAAGTCTGGTTGGCGGTGCAGCACGGCAGAGGCAGGATCCCTGCCTGGCCAGCAGGACCGGCTCCAGGGTTTTTGCCGCCCTAAGTGGCAGGGGAAAAAAAAAAAAGCCGTGATCACAATTGCGATCAGTGGCACTCCGGCAGCAGCTCCACCGCACCGCTTTCTTCTTCGGCGGGTATTCGGCGGCAGGTGCTTCTCTCCAAGAGGGACCCACTGCTGAATTGCCGCCGAACAGCCTGATGTGCCGCCCCTTCCCCTTGGCCGCCCCAAGCATCTGCTTGCTGGGCTGGTGCCTGGAGCCAGCCCTGCTGGCCAGGCTCCACGCGGCTCCTGAAGCGGCCAGCATGTCCTGCTCCTACGCGCAGGAAGGCCACAGGGGCTCCTCACACTGCCCCCACCCTGAGCAACAGCTCCACAGCTCCTATTGGCCAGGAACCACAGCCAATGGGAGCTGCAGGGGTGGCGCCTACGGGCGCAGGCAGTGCACACACCTCCCTGGCCCTGCCACCTAGAAGCTGGACATGCCGGCCACTTCCAGGAGCTGCCTTAGGTAAGCGCCACCCGGCCAGAGCTGCACCCTGCACCACCTCCCACACCCCAAGCCCCTGCTCCAGCCCTGAGCCCCCTTCTGGACCCCAAGCCCCTCATCCACGGCCCCACCCCAGAGCGCACACCCCCAGCTGGAGCCCTCACCCCCCCGAACCCCTGCCCCAGTCTAGAATCCCCTCCCGCACCCTGAACCCCTCATTTCTGGCCCCACCTCACAGCCTGCACCCCCTCCTGGACCCCAACCCCCTGCCCCTGCCCGGTGAAAGCGAGTGAGGGTGGGGGAGAGCGAGGGGAGGGAGTGAGCATGGGCGGGGCCTCGGAGAAGGGGCGATGCCTCAGGGCGGAGCAAGGGTGTTCGGTTTTGTGCTATTAGAAAGTTGGCAAACCTACCGGGGCTGAAGCATGGAACTTCGCTTCGTGGTGCTCTTTGTGGCGTGCGGCCCCAGGCAACTGTTCTGCTTGCTACCCCCTAGCGTGGGTCCTGCACTTGCAACCTCCCCCTAAACCCATCCCATGACCTCCTACCTGCTACTGTATTTTCCACTCTATGCATCTGATGAAGTGGGTTCTAGCCCACGAAAGCGTATGCCCAAATATATTTGTTAGTCTCTAAGGTGCCACAGGGACTCCTTGTTGTTTTAACCTCCAGGTTGAGAAATATTGATCTACAGGAGTTGAGTACCCCCTGGAAGATCTCTGCGTACCTCCAGGAGTATGCATACCCCTGGTTGAGAACCACTGCTGTAGAAGACCCTGAAGGGGGAAAGCACAGAACAGAGGTGGCTGCCCAGTTACTGGTGGGCAGCCTAGCAGCACGTGCCCTATTTTGGTCCATTTATCGCTTCACCCTAGTCACAACACTGATGTCTAAGGCCTCGTCTAAACTTACCAAGGATCAACTCTGCTGCGATCGATGCAGCGGGGAGGTCAATTTAGTGGGTCTTCTAAATTGACTGCAGAGCGCTCTCTAGTACTCCACCAGAATGAGAGGAGTACGGTAAGTCAATGGGAGAGTGTCTCCTGTCGATGCAGCGTGGTATAGACACTGCAGTAAGTCAACCTAAGCTACGTCGACTCCAGCTATGTTATTCAGGTAGCTGGAGTAGCGTAATTTAAGTCAATTTACCTCAGTAGTGTAGACAAGGCCTAAATCCCAAGAAGCTCTGCTTTCCATACATGAAAGGCTGCTTTTTAAGCCCCCTATTATCCTCCAGCGCCAATCAGACCCATAAAAATACTGAGTTAACTGTACACAATTGTTGAATAAATGCAAGTTTAAGTCAGCCAGAGGAACAATTCAATCCACACTTACAAAGATTAAATTAATTTTGGGGAAAAAATAGATTGATCTAACCAGCCCTCGAGCTGCTAGTTAATAGTCTTGACCTGTGCCCCTGCCCTGCAGGCTTTATTGCTTTTGGAGGCTAGCTGGGAATTAGTTTCAAAGAGCCAGTGCTCCTAATGAGTGGCTACAGCTCTCTCTTGAAGAAGTATGTGACCATTGATTATAACCCTTGATAGCCAGGATTGTATTCCAAAGGAATTTTCAGTATGGCTGATAAAGTTGATAAGCAACAATTTTATCTTTTTAATAGCGCTTTTGCTTATTTAACCTTTTATTTAAAGTCCATATTCCCATCTACAGTCATGAGTGATTTGCAGACCCTTCAGATTAGTCAAATCATCATCAATTCTCTTCCTGCCAGTTTGTTTGTTTTGATTTGAGTGAATTTCTATTCGGAAAAGTGCCTGAAAAAGTGACATTGCCTTAACCATTCTACTCCCAGTGTGTATTAGTCTTATCTGCTGCTTGCACCAACTGAAATAAATTGATACTACTTTTTACCCCTATTAGCACTGCCAAACCAATACAGCATTTGGAGAATGAACTGGATTCTATTCTGTCCCCACAGATCAGTGCTATAGTAAAGGGACCAATTGTAACCCAAGTGCTTACCAGCATGACTGGCTGCTATGGGATCACTCTTGATGGTAAACACTGCACTGGGTAGCAAGTGTTTGCAGGATTCATTTCAGACCTAAATTCCAGGTGAAAAATCTTCATCATTGGGGATGTGTGAGCCAGAAATAACCCTTTTGACTCTCAGAGCCCAGGGTAGAGTGGCAGTAAGATAAAACATTTTATTTGCAACCTGAACACATTTGATCTGGAATCACTGAGAAAGATTATAAACATGGTACCCCTTAATGCCATTTTTAGAGTCAATTTTCAGACCAGAGCACTTTAATGGCAAAGCAGGCATTTCCCTTTAAAAACAGTCTTTCCTATAGTTATCCTCTTTCTTATGGGCTGAGACTAGGAAAGTTAGGTTTCCTAGCAGTGACACTTTTAAAGCATCTCACATTGGGGTTTTCACTAGCCTTTCCATATAATTGTTTTCCAAGCACCCTTTAATAGTTTACTCTGCAGTTTGAATATCGATTAAAAAGGGGAATGAAAAATACAGAGACTAAAGTGAACAAAAATCAAGAAGGCAGAGAGAAAAGTGATTTTCATTTCATCAGCAGATTCAGCCTGACAGCTGGTGAGTTATGTGTCAACCAGGTCTAAGTTCAAGAGTCAGGCAGTTAGCCAAGAGTCTGGGTCCAACAGTCAGGATTCCACTGAGCTACCCAAGCAGCTAAATCTGCAGCTCTGGCAACCTGACAATTTTTGGAAGTAGCCTAGTTGACAGTTAAAGAGACCTTAGATTATTAACATTGAAGAGTTTGATTCTGACATCAGTTACACTAGGGCAAATCCAGAGTTACCCCCTGGACATCAGTGGAATTACTCCCAATTTACGCCAGTTTAAGTGAGTCAACAAAGAGCTATATTTATTATTAGACCCTTTGCTGAGCAATCCCATCACCTTAATGCTTAACCTAACCCTTTTCTTTCCTCCACTCTCACTAGTCTATCATTTTGGTGCTATAAAATTATTAATATGATGAAGTGAGAACAAAACCGGTCCCAAATAATGGTAAAAATCTCATTATCTTTTCAGCACTGATACCGTTTGTTTACTTTTTTGAATTTCACTCAGCGGGGACAATGAAGAAGTCAGTTTCCCATTTCACACATTACACCCAACAGCAGCATGTCCTGGTTTTCATGTATTAACACACTGCTGCAGTGTTTGGGGTGCACATAGTGGAGGAGAAATGCTAAAAACACAGGTGTTGGCATTATCAAACTATGAAAACATTTATTAGGATTTGTACAAAACCTAACATTTGAGCCGATACTCTCTGGTAGTGCCCTCATTAGTACATTAGTGAGCTAATCAAAAGGGCAAGTTGCTGTTCCTATAGTGTCTCAGTCAAATGATTTAGGGGTGGAGGAGCACCATCCCCCCGGGATCTGCTAAGGCAGAGGTCCCCAGACTTGGTGGAACCTTCTAGGGAGGTGCAAGTGGGGCCCGGGCCAGCTCCCATGGGGGGTGCATCACCTAGCCTCTCCCCACCCCGAGTTCTGCTTCGGTCCCTCCCACAGCTGCATCCCCGGCTCCTGGCCCTGCCCCCAGCCGTGGCCGCTGAGCTGGCTATGGCTCCGTTTCTGGACCAGGGCCAATGCTGGGGTGTGGGGCCAGGAGTGGAGCCACACCTGGCCACAGCCCAGCTGTGACTCCGCTCCTGCCCCTGCCCCCAGCCGTGGCTCCTGACTCCAGGCGACCCCCAGCTTCGGCCCCAGCCTTGGCCTCCTTACCTCTGTCCACATCCCCCCACTGCCCCCCAGCTGCGGCCCCACACCCCGCCCCAGTTCCGGGGGGTGGAAGGGCACAGACAGAAGTAAGGTGGGGCACAACCCTCAAAAGTTTGGGGACCACTGTGCTAAGGAAAAGAACTGTGCACGTGGTTCTCCCTCTTCACCTCATGGAAAGCAGTGGAGTCAGCCCTCTTCATGACATTCCCTCTTTGGAGCAACAAATC